TCCTTTGACAGTGGCCTTCCCAGGGGCCCCCTCCACCCAGCCTTCCCCAGATCTCCCGTCCCCAGGCCCCTCCCCAGGCTCGCCACCCCCAGCCTGCAGCCCTGTCCCTGTGGGTGATGGGGAATGAGGTCCAGATGTCCCTTTCTACCTGCAGGCACCCGCTGACAGCTTCTGTCCTCGGCAGCTGTAATTGCTGCTCCCCGTCTCCCCTCCGTGCCCTGCTCTGCACAGACTCCCTCTGCCTTGTCAGGGAGTTTATTAAATAGTTTATTAAAGTTCCCTGCCTCTGCCTCTGCTCGCACACGGGCTCCTTTAGAGATTAAAAAAAAAAAAAAAAAAAAAAACACCAAGACATGTGAGAGGCCAGATGAGCGAAGGCCACGCAGCTAGGAAAAGGCCGAAGGGGGAGTTTTCATGGGGTTCTGACGGCTTATGTCCCTGCTGTGAGGGGAAGGGACAAAGGACAGATGCACAGCACCCAAAGCAGAAGGCCAGAACAGGGAGCAGCAAGGAGTTTAGAGGCAGGTGGGGACGCAGCCGTCACTAGGCTGCATTCTACAGATGCCGAGTGATCACACCTGGGGATCCAAATGCGCTTACGATGCCCCGCCCTGGGTCTACAGGGAAAAGAAAGATGGCAAGTGGACCCCAATCGTGTCACTACGCTAGGAGACAGTGGACGTTCATCAAGTGATACTTAACCTGGGCTCAGCCATCAAAGAGGGCTTCTTGGAGGAGGTGGATCTAATCTGGGGCCTCAAATATGGAGGCTTTACTTTGGACACTTTGCCTCCTCTTCAGGGAGAAGAGCTTTGCTGGTGATTCGGGTTGCCACGGGACACCAAGGTGGGGCTCATATTGATATGTCTGCTCATCTGCTGGGCTGGCCACCCTGGGCACTCAGAGGGCAGAGTCCCTGTCCTCAGGGAAGGAACCAGCACGGCCCAGCCTGGCCAGTGCTGAGATGGGGAGCCTGGGGCAGGTCTGGCCTGGACATGGGTCAGGGCGACAGGCACATGGGCCAGGAGGAGCTGCTGTCTGCAGTGGGGCCAGGGAAGGGGTGCTGGGAGGAGGCTGCCATTGACAGCAGCCACTCTGCACAGGCCAGGCAAGGCGACCCCAGGGCGGGCCACCCTGGCCCTCGGGCAGGTGGCAGGCACTTCTGTGCAGTGGGACCCTGGTGGCAGGGGACCGGGAGAGGGAAGGTGCTGGGTCCCAGGCTCGCTCAGGGGGCGGCTGCGCAGATTGGGCTTCACCCTGAGGGCCTCGGGAGCCACGGGTGGACGAAGGGGGCCGGGTAACCCAGGAGGGGACTCTGCTGTAGGGGGCGGGCACGAGAGGGTCTGGGCTCCTCCAAACCCTGAATGGGAAGGGAGGGGCTTCTCCCTCCGTCTCTCCCGGCATTTTCTCTCCCTCCTTCCCCTGGTCTCCCTGCCTCTCTCCTCCTGCCCTCACAGTCCCCTTCCCTGGTCCCCAGGCCCCGCCCAGCCGCTCCCTGGACCCCGCCCCACCCCCAGGCGCCGGCCGGCCCCGCCCCGTCGCGCTTGCGAGAGCCTGCAGCGCCACCTTCAGGTCGCATCCGGGATTGCCGCGGGTGTCGCCCACCGGGACGACGACGCTGCTCGGGGTCTTTGCCACCTGGACAGCGGGTCGGTGCCGCCGCGATGACCTTCCCCGGGCCCCGCCTCAAGCCCGCAGCCTCGGCCCGGCTGCAGTGGGCCCCGGTACCGGCCCGTCCCTGTCCCCCCTCCCCCCCCCCGGACGACCCGACACCAGTCTCCTCTGTCCCCAAAGGACCAGGCTCCAGGAGCGTCAGGTCCTCTCAGGGCCTGGCCCCTGGGGCGCCTGGGGAAGGCGTCTCTGCTGTCCCGGAAGGAAGGGCCCTGCTGGGACCGTCACGCCCTTAGGCAGGGCAGCGAGGGGACCCACTGAGCTTGCAGGGGAGCCCGGCGCCCCATTCTGTGTGTGCTTGTTCAGTGACCCCCCCGGGCGCACCCGCACCGTGCTAGAGGGCTCTGTGACCAGGGACACGGGTGAGAAGACTGGGGTGACAGCTCCAGTGCTGGCAGCCAGGGCGCTGTGAGTTGGGGGAGGGGCAGGCTGAAGGGCTTCGTGGAGGAGGGGCTGCAGGCTGATTCCTCCAGGGGGGAGGGCGCAGGGGGGAGGGGGTGGGCGCCCAGGCGGGGACAGCTGGGGGGGGGTGGCTGGGCGGGGAGGGAGGGAGAGGTCAGGTGAGGGAGGTGGGGGTCATGCCAGGAGGGCTCTGGGGGCTGCCCAGCAGGCCTGGGGACGGTATAATAGCCACGATGATGTTAATGCCACACTAACTCTGCCTGAGGGCTCTGGTCTCCAGCCACACTGGAACAGGGTAGTCACTGTCTTCACTCATCTTAAGAGGCAGGCAGGATTATTATCACCTCTACAGAGAGAAACGCTGAGAGGTTGTCACTCACCACAGGTTGTTGGTGAGGGTGACAGCATGGCATCTCGGTCTTGGGCCAAAGTGCCTTTCAGACCCTCACTCCTGAGCAAAGGCCTTCCCAGACCTCTCCACACCCCAAGGGAGCCGGAGGGCGAGTGGGCCACAGGAAGCCACCTGAACACCTTGCTGAGGACCACTACAGACAGTGGTGACACTGGGAAAACAGCAGCAAAGGGACCTGAAGGCTGCCGTTGGGGCCCAGAGGGGACTCCTCTCACAGGACCTGCCCTGCCCTCTCCCTCTAAGGGGCCCCTGCCCTCATGAGCCCCGTGAGGGCTGCAAGCGGAAGAGGGCTCCTGGGGCCCACCCTGGGAACCACCCCCCCCAGCAAGGCTCCTTTCTTGGTCACCCTCCTTCTGCCCCAAGCATTGGCTTCCAACCCGGCCCCTTGGGGGCATCTGAAATTAATGGGCCCAAAATAGCAAGGTCTTTAGTTTCCGGGGCTGCCTCAGACTTCTGGAAACAGGGCTGACCTCTGTCTCCCTCTCTGCTAGGAAGCAGGGAGGCGTTTTTTCTCACCTCCTGCTGTGTGGTTCTGAATCACTCCCTGGGTTTCCTATAAAATATTAGACACAGAGAATCCTCAAGCTATAGTCTTAGATCCTGAGACTTAGTGTCAAATTATACACTCTAAGACTCTCAGAATCCTCGTGTGTTAAAAATAGAGCACCTCAAATTTATGGCATCATTAAATTATGGATTTTTAGAATTAAAAAAAAACAAGATCTGGAAAAAAAAATCTCAAAACCCTAGGATTTTAGGATCGAGAGACGCAGGGAACTTGAACACCCACTCCTGGCTCCAGTAGTCACCCGCTGGTGTCACTAGGCCCTGACTTAATCTCTAGGTGCCTTTGTTTCCTTTTGGTTAAAGGGGTAATGAGGTTGCTGCCTGATAGGGTTCCTGTGAAGATCCATGCGTTTCTATGTGCCTAGAGGTAGCGCCAGGCGCATGACCAGCTGGGGCTCTACTAACTCTGTAATAACAAGCCAAGTTCACCTGTCCTTGTGAGGCAGCGGGACAAACCCCCAGCCCTCTGCCCCAGCCGCGGCTCCTGTGTAGGAGGCCTCCTTCCAGCCAGCGTGGACTCCCTCCCGATAGCAGCTGCCCACTCCCAGGTCTGCCATGGGGCCGCACTTCCTGCCTCCGCTGTCCAAAAGCTGTCCTGTAATTATGAGTCCCCCCACACACACTCCTCAATACACAGCCATGGGGACTTAGCCCATCTCCCAGATGGCCTGGTGGAGTGCTCCCCCATCCAATTCCCCTTTGCTTCATTTCTCACCACCCACTGACTCTCCCCCAATTCCTAGGTTTCCCAGGACCCCTCATATCCTGCCTTCTGTGGACAGAAGCATCCATCCATTCCCTGAGGTCAGAGGGGATATGCGCTGTATAGAGAAAGCCCAAAGAAGGCAATGTTGAGCCCTAAGCAGTGACTTGCTCGGGACATGGCTTGGTGGCATACCCTCTGTGGGTTGAAGCAGAGAGCGCCCCAGGACACCCTCCCCCAGGTCAGCAGTGCTGGCTTGTAGCTGGCTTTGCATCCACGCTCCATCCCTGGGACTTTGCATCTCAGAGGGAAGGAACCACGCCCCGCCCCGTCTGGCCCCTGGAGAAGTTGCTCACAGCAGTCTGGAGTAGTGGCTGCCAGTCCACAATCCTACTGCAGCCATCCTCTGTCCAGCATCCAGAGGTCCCAGCTTCACCTCTAGGCCTCCTACAGGAACAGCGGCCAGAGAGCTGGGGCATCTGCAAGGACCCCATCAGCCCCCACCCTGCAAAAGACTTCCTCTGCATGAGCCGAGGATTGTGCGTCACTTACAAATTGGGCTTGCAACTACAGTCCTGCCTTAGGGGACATGGGCTGTTTCTGCTGAAACACTGGTCTGGGAGAGAAAGATGGATGAGTGGAAATCGGCTTATTCTGAAAATTCTGTGAGAAGCGACAGCCGGTTTTGTGTTTTTTATTATTTCTATTTTTTTTTCTTCCCCCTCTGTGCTCCTGTGGCCAAGACCCCATGTGCACACGTGGAGTTCACGGACCAGGCATCTGGAGCCAGGTGCAGAGACGCCGAGAGGCCTTGGGGCCCCTGTGAGGCCCAGGCTTCAAGTGTAACCTCAGGGGCCTGGTGGAGGGCTGAGCCATAGGATGGGGGACTCTTTTCTCTGACCCACGCCACAGGAGTAATGGATGCTCCCTGCTCATCAGACGCCCGGGGCCCTCCCTGCCTGGCTCCTCTGCACATGATGGAATGCCCTCCTCCCTCCGATCTTGTCCTCTGATCTTGTACCCTGCGTCCCTCCCCGGTACCATCTTCTGAGGCTGCCCTCCCCTCCCCCGCCTCCCCACCAGATCACTGTTCTTTTATGACCTTTGCAGCCCCGATCTTCATATTTTTTGGAAGCTCCTTCCTCCACCAAATCAAACCTCTTAAGATCCTACATTAAATCAATGTTTATGTAGCTACCCAGCCGCAAAGTAGAGCAGAAAGTGACTAGTTGACAACGCTGCGTTTTATAGACATTTAATTAAACATGTATCAATTTCAGAGGCACAGCTCTCTGTTTGGATTTTAATCCCAGAACATTTTTTCAGGCCTTAAACATTTTCACAAGACCTTAAGTGCTCTGGGGTCCTGGCTCGCTGCCTGGGGCTGGGCATCTGAAGAGGAGCTGTCTGTCCCCTGTCCCCTGCCCCCTCCAGCATCAGCTCCTCCTTCGGACCCTCCTCAGCACCCCTGCTGGCGTGGCCAGTGTCCAGCTGTCTCCCGGTGCTCTTCACTGGCCAGGCAGGGGTCACGACAAATCCTTCTAGTTTCCACGTGGTCCACCCAAGGCCGGGCACAGGGGGGCCCAGAAGCACCACTAAGGAAGAGTGAGTCGATAGCCAGACCTCGGACGCCCAGGAGAGGGTCTGTGGATTGTGATGGAGAACCAGGGGAGGAGCTTCTTAGGCCCCTCCTCTCAGCACACCCCACGCCAGGCATCAAGGGGTCACTTTCCAGGGGACCAGGTTCGCCTTCCTCTGTAGAGAGACAGGGACATTTATTTCCTGAGACCCTCGATGCACAGCTCAGGTGTCCGGTGACCAGCCTCCTGCACTCACGATGGCCTCTATACCCATTAGGTCTCCCGGGGAGTCCTGGAGGCTGGCCTGGCCCCTGCTTTACTCTGGAACAGAAGAAAGGCCCGTCCTCCCCAGGGGCAAGGCTGCAGGGAGCAGGTGGACATCTCTAGAAGGTCCCCACCCACCTTAGTCCATTTCGTGCTACGTCTTGGGAGGTCCAAGATCAAGGTACCTGGCAAGAGCCTTCCCCCCGCCCGTGGTGGAAGGTGGAGGAACTAAGAGGAGGAGCACACCCGCCCCCCTGCGCCTTTTATTAGTCATTAAACCACCCAGGGGACTTTGGGCCACCCACGCCACTCATCTCCAAAAATCCCCACTCCCGATACCCTGCACTGGTGACAAACTTCAAAGGGAGTGTCGGAGAGTCCATCAGACCCCGGCACAGCCCCCTGCAGGGGAATGGACCCTCAACAGCAGTTGGCTGCTCGGACCTGGGACTGGCTGCACTAAGGTTCCGTCATGTGTCACCCCAAACGATGGCCTCCCGATCCCTCCCGTCCCGTAGGCTGACGTCCATGGGCCTGCCCTAGTCCAGCTTTTCCATGGAAAGACGGAGAGCCGGAAAGGGCTGAAGATGTCTGAGGTCACACAGAGAGTCATCATAGAGCCAGGTGGGGACTTGGGGACACTCTGGGGCCTTGGATTGGGGACTGGTTTACCCCCTAATCTGGACCCTGGGGACAAACCAAAATACTGAAGGAGCCACGTGTCCTGGACGGTCACTGTGTGCGCAGCCCCGTTCTGAGCAACTCACCTGTCCGCCACCATCCCAGCCTCCCAACATGTCAGGGAAGGGCACGGTCCCTGTCCCCGTACAGATGAGGAAACTGAGTCTCAGCCAGGAGAGGTGAGCCGGAAGGGCCCACCAGGTGCCGGGCAGAGCTAGGACTCCCTCCTGGGCCTTCAGGTGCAAGGGCTTGAAGCCACCCTGCACTGTCACCTCAGGCAGAGGGAAGGGGACAGGCAGGGAGAGAAGTTCAGCCCCCGGGGCCTGGGGTGATCCAGGCCATGTCTGGCACACTCTGTGGCACACGTGTGGGCTCGTTTGGAAGGTCTGACCTTGTGTCTGACCTGAAAGATGCGCCTCAACCCTGAGCAAACCTGTCTGCCCCGGGGAGCCCGGGGAGGGCAAGCTGCTCCATCAGGCCAGGCCGGGGCTGAGCAGGAGAACGGGGGATGACAATGCCAGGCGCCCTGGGCCAGGTTCCAGCGCCTACCAAGCCCTAAGGGTAAGCACATGGGCAAAGCTGTCCCCATCTCTGAGCCTCAGTTTGTGCCTCTGCAGAATGGACACCATGTCCAGCCATCACCAGATGATACCATGGGGACTTCAAACACAAAGAGACGGAGAAGGGAACTAATGCCCAGAGACCAGCGTGTGCCGGTGGCTCACACCACTGTCCGCTGTGACACAGGACTGCAGCTCTGCCGCCCTCTCTTCCAGCCCTGCTCCCCCTTACCATGGTGACACCCGTGGTTTTGCCTTCCAAGCCTCAGCTTTCCTGGCTGTGGAATGGAGATGATAAGGTCCTGAGGCAGATTCCCCAGCTCTGTGCCCAGGATCTCCAGGACCTGGGGGAAGATGGTGGTGGTGGTGAGAATCGGAGGTTGAATGAAGAAGGAGAGGAGAGCTGGGCAAGGAGAGAGCCTGTCCATACGCAGAGAAGGGCAGCCCTGGTTGCCTGCGGGTCCAACGCCCCTCCTCCTGCTGCTCCTCCCACCTGCCTTGCAGAAGGAGCTCCCGGGAGCTTCTGAGCTGAGCTGGAGGGAGAGGTCTGGCCTCTCTCTGCACATCAGCCGCCGTTCCTCCTCTCCTAAGAGGTGCGACTAGCGCTGCTCCCCCCTTGGGACGGGGGCTGGAGAGATGAGGATGAGCGGGTGGGGCAGGGGGTGGCTTGTTAGTGGGCGACCCCCCTGCATCCTGCTCAGAGGCCAAGAGCTTCTCCCGATCTAATTAGCATCACGGAGAATTAAACTTCACAGCCCTGAAGTGAGCCCGCTCACCCAAGGGCATTCCAGAACTAATACTGATTAAATATGAAACGGTTCCTCTCTTCAGGGCCCTGCGTCTCGGAGGCACAGGCTGGGGATGGAGCCATAACCGCCGGTTCTGATTATGCAATGTGTGTTTTTGAACAGAGAAGGGAAGGGAAGGAAACAGGGAAAGGGAAGAGAAAAGAGTCAACTTGGAACAGACCCCGCTTCCCTCTCATCCCACAAATAAAATGAATCTACAACGTTTAGGGCTGTTTCTGCTCTATTGAAAGGAACAGGGGTGTTTTTATCCTTTCTCCCTCCCCTTTCTCCTACTTTTTCATCCAGGTGATTTGCTGAGCTTCTACTATGTGCTAGACACATACTGAGCTCAGGGGTGAGGAATAAACAAGTCCAACAATGTCCCTGCTCTCCCAGGGCTCATAGTCAGCAGGGGGATCTGGTCCTTTAAATAAAGGTCTTGGCAGATCACACAGCTCATCTCTGGACAGGGCCAAGCCTGCCAAGCCCAGGAGGCCCATAAGGAGGCCTGAGTTGGCCAGGGCAGGGTGGGCATCTTAGATCGAATGTTTGAATGGAGTCCTGGAGGGTCCTGCAGTCATTATTCTCTGTGCCTGGAATGCTCCTCCTCTAGCACCCACATGGCTCCCTCCTTCGCTTCCTTCAAGTTTTCACTAAAATGTCAATATTAACCACGCCCAGCCCCGGGGCCCTTCTTTTTATTTTTCTCTTTTGCATTTTTCACGTTACATACCAAATACGTTTGATGTATGCGTTTGTGGTCCACCCTCCCCACAGAAGAGGAGCTTCCGGAGACCCCGAATCATATTTTTGCTGTTATTATTTTTCTCTGCTGTGTCCCCAGCGCCCGGCACAGAGCAGGGGCTGGTTACCTGTATACTGACTGGATGAAATGGCCTGTTGGTCATGCTGAGGGGCCTGGACTTTGTCCCTGGGGCCAAAGGAAGCCCCCATGGCTCCCACAGAGACAAAGTCTGGCTTAGGAAGATCTCGTCACATGAATGGAAGGAGCTGGGAGCCTGGGAGGTCCCTCAGGGGTGAGCTGACAGAGGTGTGGACCCCGTTGTGCAGGGAACATGCCCAGAGGGGGTTGGGAGAAGGAGGAAGGAGGACTATCCGCCGGGAGCCCAGGTGCTGGGCGGCTGCCGGTGGGAATCAAAGACTGAAGTCCAGGGTCCTGAGGCTGGTGACCGGAGAGCAGAGTCGTGTCAGGGGCAGAGAGGGGTTTGCTTTGAAGGAGCTGCAATGGGGACCTGTGGTCACCAGGTTCATCCAACAGAGCCCACTGAGGGCCAGCAGGCGGGGACGGAGCCAGGGGGTGGGAGCCAGAGGGAGATGAAGTGCTGAGCTTGGGGCTAGGAAGACACATGCCATCCCCTGCCTGGGACGCCTGGCTCTGACCTGCCCCGCCTCCCCTGGCTGTGGGTCTAGCAGCCTGGCAGACACCTGGCCAGCTGTGGGGAGCCGCCCTTCTCTGAGCAGCCATGACGGGCAGGTGGACCGCAGGCCAATCCCTTCCCCGAGGCAGGGCTACGTTGAGGTGTGGCCCCAGCCAGAGGACTCCGGTTGCCATGGAAATGGGGTGACTGCGGCAGGCCCACCAGCCCCAGGCAGAGGCCCCAGCTGGGCTCCAGCACCCAGTGTCACCTCCTTCCACGCCCAACACTGCCCCCCACAACGCTGGCCCCATTGGTCCCCCACCCCTGACCACTCAGATGGCCTGTTGTCCTCTCCGTAGGGCGGGGCCCAGCAGGGGTAGAGGAGGACACCCTGTGGGAGACAGGACCAGGGCTCCTCGCAGCACTGACCACACGCAGCAAGGGCTGTGAGAGTGGGTTCAGCAGAGTGTTCAGGGGTACTGACAGAGGACATCTGTTTCAAGTGGGAGGGGAAGAAGGCCTCTGGGAAGGTCCGCCTTTGACTCTGGCCTTGAAAGTAGGGTGACATTTCAGCAGGTGATGTCGGGGTCCAGCAGAGAGGACGGGATGCTGAGAGTGTGCGGAGCCCACTTCAGTGAAGTCACCGGGGCCCGGTGGCCTCAGAGCAAGGGGTGCCATGCATGAGGCTGGGATTAGAAAAGGGGCCCTGGGGACGTAGCCTGGGCCCCGGGGTCAAAGATGGAAGATCAGAAGTGGAAAGAGGGACAAGGATGAAGGTCCCCTGCAGTTCATGGCTGGGAACTTCCCTGCTGGAGGGATGGCTACAGAATGTGAATCTTGAAATCCCACAGCTTGGGCTTCCGAGGAGCCTCAGATGAGAAGAATAACAATAACGATGACTTACAGCCTTAGGGTCTCAGGGAATCTCATTGTAGGGTAATTGAATCGCGGGGTCCCAGAGCCTCGGTGTTTAAACCACAGCCAGGTTGAATCGCCACCCCTCAGCGCTGTCACCCTGTCCCCTCCCCCTGGGCTGGATAATAAGTGCTCTGTGCTCAGAGCTTCGAACACCCTGTGTCCTGCTGTCTCCATGGCAACCTTCGGAGCAGGAACTACCTCTCTGCCTGATTTTCCAGATGAAGAAACCGAGGCTCAGGGAGGGTGGATCCGCTGCTGGGGGTCGGACGCCTGGTGAGTCGCGTGGCCAGGCTCTGCCCAGACCACTCAGCCTCTGAGGCCACACTCTCAGCCTCTCTGCCTCCTGTGAGGCCTCTGCTGACGATCACTTGCCCTCTGTGCACACCTCAGGGATGGGGAGCTCACCACCTCTCCCCAGGGCGGCCCGTCCACTCCAACTCTGGACACATCTCTCCTTCTCAGGGCATCCACCCACTGCCCCCAAATCTGCCTTGGGAGACCCCTCAGATGACCTTCACCAGGACCCCTGTAGGGAGAGGGAGCAGCCCCCTGAGGAGGGGCAGCCATTGCACTGGGGCAGAGTGGGGTGAGGAGGCCCCGATGCAGCCATCCTGGTGAAGGATGGAGGAGCTTATCCCAATGGAGGGAATCCCCCAGGGACCTCAGGACAGGCCACCTGGAGACAAAGGAGGACAAAGCCCAGAACACGGGGCGGTGGGGTGAGGAATGGACTTATGATCCAGCAACACGGTCCCCACCGTCAGTCACGGGGCCTGAGGAGGCCGAGCAGCAGGGCTGCGCCTGTCACTTCCTGCTCCTCTCCTGAAGACTGGCTCTGCAGAGTGCGCCTGGCCCTCGTCCCAGAGGGCTGTGGAGTGGGGCTGTTGGTAAGTGGGAGAGGAAGGGGCAAGGGAGCTGGAGAGCACGGAGCCCCCACTCACCCCAGAGAGGGAGGGGAGCGAGGGGGAGCCTGGGCCAGGACAAGCAGGTAGCCCCAAAGGACTGTGTCTCCCAGGACGGGAGAGCACGGCTGCTGCGCACGCCAGGGTCGCCTGACGGTCCCCTAGGTCACCACAGGCTGATGGAGGCAGAATCCCCGGGAACAGGGCCGAGGTATCTAGATTTTTTTTTTTTAAGTCCCATCCCAGGCAATACACACTCCTGGAGAGAATGTGGATCAACAGAAACTCTCGTTCCTTGGTGGTGTGAAGACGAGATCGCACAGCCACGTTGAGAGACAGTTGGCGGTTTCTCACGAAGCAGAAGGATCTTACCATGAGATCCAGCGATTACACTCCCAGGTGTTTACCCAACTGATATGAAAACTTACGAACACACCAGAGCCCGCACCTGAAGGCTTTCAGCAGCCCACTCATGGTTCCTAAGAGCAGCAGGCCACCGAGCGGTCCTTCCACAGGTGCGTGGATGCAGGCGGGACACTCACACGCTGGAATGGCACTTAGAAGGAGCCAGCGGTCGAGTCACACAATGACGGGGACAAATCTCCCAGTTGCCACGGGAGCGAGGCCCATCTGCAGAGGTTACATTTAGATGACATTCTGGGAAAAGGCAAATCAGCCATAGTAAGCAGATCAGTGGATGCTGGGGGTTTGGTGGGTGGGAAGGGTTAAAGAGGAGACGTCCAGGAGGTTTTCAAGACGATTATGTACAATGTCATAACTGATATGTGCCTTTGTCAAAATCCATAGAATCTGACGGCAGAAAAGTGAACCCGAATGTATACAGATTTTTTTAAACAATCATCTAGGACGTCGGGAGACCTCAGGATGGAATGTAAGCTGTGACAAAAGAATTTAACAGCATGACAAATGTGTGGAATGACTTCACTTCAGGAGGGAAGATAAAAGGGGCTGGTCCATGTAGCTCGGACTCCAGGTGGAGCCCACAGGACTAATTGCCCAAAGGACTGCACCTAGCCCTGGGCTCTGCTTGACAAGGCTGTTGCTATGGGGGACGAGTTCACAGTTCTGAAATCACTCTACTGTCCCCGACACCGGGAATAACAATTAAGTACATGAATGGCAGGTGGTGCAGGTCAGGACTCTCACTGCTGCAGGAGAAAGTCACAGACAAATAAGAGGAGACAGCTAGAACGAACCATGTAATAGATCAGAGATGGAGACATCCGTGTGAAGTCACATTAGTCCAACTAAAGACACAGACTTTTACATACAGAAATACTTCTACAGATGTGTGAATGCACAGCTTAGGGTCTGTCTCCTTATTCTGCAAACTGGGACGGCCTAGAAACAAGGATACCCAACTGTGATGAGCACATGGGTACCGCCATCTTGGTCTCTAAAACCATTCTCCAATAAAAAAATGGCTGACTCTAAGATAGGGCCAAAAGTACACCAGAGGGGCCTGGCATATTTTTTAGTGCCAGAAAACAATGACGCACACACACACAAAGACCCTACAAGGTTGGAAGAATACCAAAGGGACCTGGGTATCAACTAAAGGAACTCTCAACGGTTGAGAGCCGTCTGTGGGTTATGTGTGGACTTGACTGCACATCACGACCTAGTGAAGAGGACAGTCTGGTGTCTGGGAACTTCCAGTGGACATTTCCTCCGCTTGACTGCCCAGAGACATCGTGAACCCTATTCCGCTCTGCCTGGTCCCACACAGCACCAGAGATGGGGTGACCTGCTCCAACCACCCCACCGCACAGTCCCTCTGAGATGGGTGTGACCTGCCAAGATGCCGATCAACCTGCTGACTGCAAGATGTCACAAAGCAAGACTCCACCCTTGAAACCTTACCCCTGCCTTTGATGTACCCCCTTAAATACACCACCGGAGCTAATTGTCTAGCTCCAGATCCTGTGTGGACTGGACCTGTCAGGGCTCCATCTTTAAAACTCTCCTTTCTGATTCTTGGTCTTTTGTTCCTCACTAATTATCCAAGATTTTAATTTCCCAGGAGGCTTATCCCTCGGAGCAGGCAAGAATTCCCTGGCGAGCTGCTGGACACCCCGCAATACTCAGCAGTCAAAGCTGAAGATATTTGAGCAAAGAAGTCATTGAAGTAGAATTGGATTATTACCCAAAGTATAAAGTAAGAATCCAATGCTGAAATAATCCAATAGATGATAGATATATAGGTAAAATAGATAGATGGAAAAAGACCTATATTCTTTGTAGAAAAATTCCAAATAACAGATATAGAATCTGCAAGGTCACGACTCTCCTTCTGGATACTCATTAGTTGTGTCTTCTCTCCTTTATTTCCCCCAGTCAGTGTGGCTTAGGGGCTTATCAATTTTATTGATTGGGGTGGGTACTGGAGATTGAACTCAGGGGCACTCAACCACAGAGCCACATCCTCAGACCTATTCTTTTATTTTATTTAGAGACAGGGTCTCACGGAGTTGCTTAGCACCTCGCTTTTGCTGAGGCTGGCTTTGAACTCACGATCCTCTTGCCTCAGCCTCCCAGGCTGCTGGGATTACAGGCGTGCGCCACGGTGCCGGCTCATTTTATTGATATTAAAGAACCAGCTTTGGTTTTATTCATTTTCTCTGTTGCATTTCTCCACTGATTTATAGTTAACGCTTTTTTCTTTGCTGCTACCTACATTGGATTTAATTTGCTCTTGTTTCCAGTGTCTTAAGTGACAACTGAGGTCATTGACTTGAGACATTTCTTCTTTTCTAACGTAGGCATTTAGTTTTAGAATTTCCCCTAAGTACTGCTATAGCAGCAGCACTCTAATTCTGATGTGTTGTACGTTCACTTTTGTTTCAGTGAAAAACACTTTCTAGTTCCTCTTTTGATTTATTCTTTAACACATGGGCAATTTAGAAGTGTGCCATTTGGTTTCAAAATATTTGGAGACTTTTCGGAGATCTCTCTGTTATTCATTTCTAATTTAATTCTGCTCTGGTCACAGAACATACTTTCAGCAACTTGTCTCCTTTAAATTTATTGAGATTTGTCTCAGGACCCAGAATCTGGTCTATCTCGACATATTTCGAAATGTACTTAAGAAGAAGGCAGCTCTGTCGTAGCAGGGTGGGGTGTTCTGTAAATGTCAATTAGGTCAAGTTGGTTGATAGGGTTGATCAAGTCCCCTATCGCCTTGGTGACTTCATGTTTCCTTGTTCTGTCATCTTCTGAGCGAGGGGTGTTGAAATCTCTGTGGCTTTCCTATTTCTGTCCCTGCTCTGTGTATTGTGGAGAGCTGTTACCAGGTCTATAAACATTCAGGATGGAACGTCCTCTGGATGTGTTGACACCCCGGCCCTCTTTGTGACATTATTTATTCGGAAAGCGACTTTGAGTGGCCCTGCTGTAGCATCTCAGCTTTCTCCGCCTGACACTGTGACTTTTATCTTGTCGGGTGCTGGGTAGTTTTATTTTGCCAGACGTCTTCTAAACTTTATTCCAGAGCACCGTCAAGTTACTTGGGAGCAATAGGATCCTTTGGGGTCTTGCTTTTAAGATTTTTACAGGTGACAGCCGAGCGGTTCCCTCCTGGGGACTCTGCAGCATCTTCGCCCTGAGCTGCGGTCTCCTCTCGGCCTCTGTGTGCCGTGGACCCCCGCTGCACCCTGCTCTCCTGAAACCGCAGCTCTAACCCCCCCACTCCCAGGCTTCCCTGGGCTTGACCCTCCTGCCCCATGGCCTGGAAACTCTCTCTGGGCTGTAATCAGGGTAATGTCGTTTGTTTCTCGTCTCCTTCAGGGCCTGATGGCCTGTGTCTAGGAAAGCACCATTTCATCCGCACTCAGCCCTCTTTAGCTGGGAGCTGCCAGGATTCAACCATATCAATAATGTCTTTTTTAATTGCATCTATACCGAACATGCACAGAATCTTTCCTTTGGTTATTCACCAAACAATACAAAATAATACTATAATTCACACATTCTTGCATTATGTTAGGTGTTATAAGTAATCTACAGATGATTTAAAGCTCACAGGAAGATGTGCAGAGATTATAGCACATACTACACCATTTTATGTGGGGTTTGAGCCAACACAGATTTGGGTATGGGGGGGAGGGAACTGATTTTGGGATCCCTGCAACTGATCCCCAGCAGGCACCGAGGGGAGAGGATGACCAATCTTCCATGGATTCAGGAGGAAGGGTGAATCCAATCCCTGTCACCCCATCTTGCCTGGGAGAGGGAATGACCACAGCCAGGACTGAGAACCACCAAATTCCTTCATTGATTCTTTCATTGTTCAAATGGGGAAACTGAGGCTGCAAGGTCTGGGCACTTGCACAAGGTCACACAGCGAGTTGGAGGGTCCAGAACTTGCATCACCAGAGCCCCGAGGTGACCATCACCAGCAGACGATGAGGACGTCGCAAAGGCCCTCAGTGCACACCCTCTCTACTTCCCAGGCCTTGTGTCTCCTCCCTTCCAGCCCCCGCTCAGCCAGGGGCTGGGTCTCCAAGGTGACCCTGCCACCTCCACTTCAGGGGTACCCCAGCCTCCTGGCCCCACGTTCAGGGTGGGGGCGAGGAACCGAGCATGAACTAGGAAAGGGAAGGGAGACGCCGGAGCTGGGAAGGAGACGGTGCTCCCAGACAGGGATGCCACAGGAGAGCGCCAAGACCGCTTCCCCTGGAGGGTGGCCCAGTTCCGGGCTGTCCTTGTGTTCTGCCAAGTATCAGATTTGAAAAAAGAAATCTAGATCTAGACTGAGATGCACAGAACCGACTCCTCCCTCGCCTGCTCCTCCCTGGGCACGGGCGGGGTCTGTCTAGCTCCTCCGCAGCCTCCACATGAGGGAGAGCAAGACCCCCTCAGACGACGGCTGCCGAGGACACAGAGAGGGGTTCATCCAGCACTCGACAAGGGAGGCCCGGGAGCACGGCAGCCCGGCTCCTGCTGACCTGGGGCGCTGGCCTCTCCTTCCCAACCCAGCCTCTCCTGTGATCTGAAATCCCTGCTTCCTTTGGTGCTGAAGGTCTCCTGAGGGTTCCTGGGACTGGCTTTGTGTGACCTGGTGTTTGAGAGCAAGGACACAGGCTCCTCCAAGGAGTGGCTGACCCCAGGGCACCTCTGAGACCTCCCTGAGAAGTGTCTCAGCAGGCGCCATGATGGGGTTCCTCCCCTGCCCAGAGGCAGCTGTCCAGGGTCCTCTGGGCCCATGGGCCAGTGGCTTTCCCACCCTGGGGCGCTTGGTCCAGATGAGCGAATGACCTGGGAGGTGGGGCCTTTCAAGACCCCGTCTCAGGGAGGGGGTCCTCCTGGGCCCTGCTCCTGTGTCTCCCACCGTCTCCTGAGTACCCTGGGCGTGAGGGGCTCACAGCAATGCTGTAGGTGGCACCCACCCACACCTGGCCCTAAGACTGCGAGCCGTGTCCTACCTGATCACAGCGGAGGCCACCTGTCCCTCCCGGGCGCTGCCGAGGCGCAGCAGTACCTCCCTGGTCCTCAGCTGCTCGGCCTCCTGGCAACCCCAGCTCTCTGATGGGCTCAAGAGAAGTTTGATTTTGTAGATCATCCCTTTCTTATTTTTCTCATTTTCTAGCTGGGCTTTTTTTTTTTTTCCTGCTCATATTCTAAGTAGAAACAGAAGTTCACGCAGCCAAAAGAGTAAATTGAATGTCAGGACATTGAGCAAAGTTCAGGGGAATCATCGTGACGTGGCAGATTCTCCCTTTAGAAGGTCACTGTGTCCATTCAGTCTTCAACAAATGTTTGCAGAGCACAGTTACATCCCAGGCCCTGTTCCAGACATCAGATGAGGTGGAGACCAACTGGGAGGCCAAGGCCCAGAGATGGAGATACAATATACCCAGGTCACACAGTACCGAGCCCAGTTCCTTTGCTGTTTGCCCAAGGCTACCCCGCCGCTGTCTGTCTGTCTTTTGTCATGAGCTTTGCTGGAAAACCCTGAATATAATCTGTGCACCACCCTCCTGTCACATAGGCCAGGCCTATGTGCCTCCAAAAGACAATGAAAGATAATTTGGGTCTCCTGAGATTTGTTAAGACTAAATAAAAAGAGAATCAGCCATGCAGATACCTATGGGTGAGGCGGGCATGCTTGGGCACTGCTTCAGGGAGACAAATAAGTAAGAAAGACCTTGAGCCTCGGAAACACCAGCTCTGGGGCAGTGAGTCCACCTCCAAGAACCCACCCCAGGCGGAGGCCAGGGATTTGGGCCAGGCTGATGGCTACGGGTATTTATTGAAGCCTGATGATAAGACTGAAAACCCCAACATGCTGTCTATCCAACCAAAACGACAGAGGACCAATCACGGAGCCCCCAGCGAGGGACTGTTCGGAGCTATTAGCATCATGCTTTTCAGGAACTTTGAAATGATGTGTGAAAAATGCTCATGATGCAAACGCAAGACAGAAAAGAACGAACACTGAATGTACAGGAAGATCCCAACTGCATCAATTATACCGTCTGTGCCGCGCACCTGCTCTTCCTGCCTATGGAAAGGCCAGGTAATGATGCTGATGGCAGCGATCGGCATAAAGGCTTTAGTTGAGCACCTGCTCTGTGCTGGGACCATGCAAAAGGCTTCCATCTCCATCTCCCTGAGAGCCTGGGGGATTTCCTAGCCCCGTTTTATAGAGGAGGAAATGGAGGCACAGAGACAAGTGTTTACCAAAGTCACCCAGCAAATTGAGTGATGGACGTTGGCTTCCCACTCAGCCTGACTGATGGAGAGTCTTGGACTTTTGCTGTCACAAAGTAGACTCTGGAGAAGCAGTGAGCTGGAGCTGGAGGGAAGAGGCTTACCAGGGGCCAACAAGACAAGGAAGCAAGACTCTGGGAAGCCAGCCCGGGGCGGAGCTAGGGGCAGCAGCCCAGAGCTGGCCAGCAGGGGGCATTGACACCCCATTGGCTCAGCCCCGGTGTGGGGGCTCCTGGGGAGGGGCTTCTGCTACAGAAGGGACCTGGAGGCTGCAGGGGGGGGGGGCTGTGGTGCTCTCTCCACAGCCCACAGCACACCTTTTCCTGATGGAGCCTCTGGGTGCAGGTTCCAAGTTCAAGGGCAGGAGGCGTGCTGGGAAGGACAAAGTGCCCGAGCGTCAGCCCTCTCTGGTCTGCCACAGTCACACAGACCTGGGCCTCCACTGGCGGATCCTCTCAGCAGGCTGGAGACCGACCCGCCTTCCAGAAGGGGAACTTAGCATGGAGTCAGGGGACCAAGGCAGCCCTCACTGCCTCTTGGAGACCCCTCTCCTCCTCCTCCTCCTCTATCGGTTCTAGATTCTGCCCACCCTCAGCTGCCACTCTGGCGCCTTGGGAACACCACCCTGGCCCTCCTCCCTCCCCAGGGGCCTGAGCCTCTGGGGGAGAAGGAGATAGATGTCTGCTGCTGCCTGCCCTGTGGCAGTGGGGCAAGAGAATCAGAAGGCGCCTCATGGGTCGCCTGGGCTCTGGGCATTTTCCTCGTCACTCCCAGGGCACTGCCCGCCCTCACCCCCACCCCCTGCCGCTCACACTCATTTCCCTGGCAGAGAGACGGGCCTGCTAGACCCCGGGTCCAAGGAGCCCCAAATGCCTGGGCAGCCACAGGGTCCATAAACCAAGGCTCTTTCTGTGTCCCCAGCACAGGTGTCTTCTTGGGGGATCGGGACACAGAGCTTCAGGGATGGATCACCAAGGCCCTGTGGTGTGCTGGAGGATAGCAGGTGGCCATTCTGGTGGTCTCTGTCATCTCTTCTCGTTGGGGACACATTCCCTGGCAAAGGGCTTCGACTCAGGCTCCTACTGCCTCCTGCAGTGGGGAGCCACGTCGTCGCAGAGTGCTCTGTCCACTGAGATGGCCCATCAGCTGGGCCTGGTTGGCCATTCCCACGCTCTGTGAGGCCGGCATCTTCTGGAAGGTGCCAACAGTGGCCTGCTCCTGTCCCTGTGCACAGTGACACGGGCGCCCTGGCCTGACACACCGTGAGGCAGGATCCCAGCCAGTGCCTCAGACGCCCACAAACCTCAGAGAGTAGAAACGCCTGAGGCCACCTTACCCACCGGGGATACAGGGCCCTCCCAGGTACACAGACTGCCCGTGTGAGGGGCCAGTGTGGTCAGCTGGCCAGCTGATCTCCTTGATGGGTGCAGCCTCTTCAGTGGCTGAAGAGAGGTCTCTGCTGCTGGCCGACTGGTTTGCAGAGGCCACAACAGTGGACCAGCCCTGGGGGTAAAGTCCTCCTATTGTGCCCATGCAGGGCCTCCATCTGCACTGGGCCAGCCCCAGGGTGGCCCGTGCCACAGCTCAGGTTCACCAGTTGGACTCCCTACTTGGTTACTTAGTGCTCACTTTCTCAGGTCAGCATGAACATGCGATGCCAAGATCCGAGCACTTATTGAGTGCCTGCTGTGTGCCAAGTGCTCTCTGTTCACTCGGCCTGAGGTAGGAATGGTCACCATCCCCATTTTACAGGTGGGGAAACTGAGGCAAGGAGAGCATGAAGTGTCTTGCCCAAGCCTACTCAGCTAGGGAGTGGAAGAGGCAGGGTGCAGATGCAGGCATCTGGCTCCACAGCCAGGCTCTGACTCATGGGGTCACAGGGCTCCTCGGAACACCCAAAAGGGCCTTGGTCCTGTTCTCTGCTCCAACAGGTTCCTCAGACCTGATGCTCCTCTGTAGGTGAAAATGGACACAGGGTGGAGAGAAGGTTCTGTCCCCAGCTCTGCACACTCTCCACCTTGTAGGATCAGCCAGGCCCTGGTCACCCAGAGGTCAGGCTATCACTAACCAGCCTTATAGGGACAGCCCTATATTATGACTGGGAATGCACTGTGGCCCTTCGGGATACATTTATTGAGCATCTAATATGTGCCAGCCCCTGTGCTGGGGACTCCTCCATGAACAAAAGCAGACCCTCCCCTCCTCTGAGGGCTCACAGTGGGAAGTCAAGTTTTAAATGACATCCGTGATGGGTCTCATGATCTGTCTGGGCTAGGGAGGGCTTCTTGGAGGAGGTGACCAGAGAAAGATCAGGAACTTGCTGGAACATTGTGAAGGGGAGGGGACGGGAATGCCACCTGGGTGTCTGGTCCAGGCCCTGAACACTTGCAATTCTGGGCTCAGTATTTTATCATTCTAAGATTCTATTAACGGAGGCCTCTCAGAATTAGAGGCTGACAACTCTGGGAGGCCGGACTGCTGGGCTCCGCCGGGCTGAGACTTCACGACCGCACACATGAGCTTTGGCTGGCTCTCTCCTTTCCTGGGCCCCCGGCCAGGCCCATAACACCATGGATATGCAGCTTTTTGTGGCTTCGAGAATGTAAATTTATTCTGGGATCCCTCACCAAGCACTCACCTTATCTACATGTTACAGTCACCAGAATAAATATTAGGGGACAAGTCTGCAGAGATCTGTGTGCACAGGAGGTAAATCCTGCAGCTGGTGGGTCAGCCACGCAGGGATTTCGACAGAAATGCCACGTTTATATTAATGACAAGGAGGCTGGACCTCTGTCCCACCTCAGGTGAGGTCCTGTCTCCCGCTGCAGCGGCTTAGGAGGGCCTTTGTCTGCACAGGCTGAGGCTCAAGGGGGAGGGGAGCACCCATCAGCAGCCAGTGCACAGATGGGCACTTCTCCCAACTTCTGGGGTCACTGCATGGACCCTCTGACTGGGATCCCTCAGGCCGAGGCCACAGGAGCTCCCAGAGGCATGGGAGGGGGCAGGCTGGCCCCACCTTGGGTGAGACTCTGTGCTGGGCCCTGGGTGGGCTCCACATCACACCGACAAGGGCAGATGTCAGCTGTCCCCTCACTGCTCAGCCATGTAACCTTGAAGAAGCCACTTCACCTCCCTGGGACTCTGTTTCTTCAATGTGACCTGCCATTCCACCCACCCCACCTGCCAGGTGGTTCTGAGGACTAGGGGAAAGTGCAGGTCCCCTGCACGCGATAAGCCCGGATCCAAGAACCATCCCTGGATACCCCACCGGGTGCCGGCTCTGCTGGGAGCCCCCTGCGTAGGTTTAATCCTCGCCCCAGCCTGGTGAGGGCTGCTATCATATCCCATTTCACAGATGAGGGAACTGAGGCTCAGAGAGGTTAAGCAACTCACCCAGCATCACCAGCACAGGTGGCAGAGGCAGGATTTGTAATCAAGCAGTTGACCCCCAAATCTGTGAACTTCAACGCGATGTTTAAAGTTTTTGCAGCTGCCCTCTAGGGGGTGCTGGCCACTGTCAGAGCTGGCCCCTCGCCTGGCCCTGGTGCGCTCTCGTCCCTGAAGCTCTGGCAGTGGCCAGGCAGCAGGGAAACCAGGTGATGCCTGCAGGCCTTGCTCCTGCTGCGCCCTCTCCCTGGGACACGGTCCCCTGCCCGCGGCCTCCAGGGAACCCCTACCCAAGCTTCAAAGCCTATTCCCTGAGTCTGGCTCCAGCAGGGAGGGTCAGCCCTGTGGCACTGGCCACTTCACCCCCGTTTTACACACTCTCCTGCTCCAGTGGGTCTCAGTTTCCCAAGGCCACGGACCCCCCAGAACTAGGAAGCCACCTGGAACTGTGAACCCCGGCACCCCAGGACTCCCGTGCTCCAGGCCCAGGTTCACCTTGGGGATTCAAGCCAAGACTTTGGAGGCT